TGACCTATTCAGACTTGATGAAACCAAGAACAGACAAATAGAGGGATCATCTTAGGGGCCATCCTTAAAATGACTTCCTGTGTCCTAAAAACTGCAGCTTTATATACTATTTTATGTATAAATGAAGTCCAGAAAGGCCTCACATCTGAACCTGTTTTGGAAAGAATCACTTTTGGAGAAAACTGAAGAAGAGGAATTTCAAGTGCTGAACATGGCCACAAAGGCATGAAAGAACAGTATCGCCTTCTCGCAAAACATTAATTAAGAGCAAAATACTACTGAAGTGTCTGGGCAGGCTATCCAAGTGCAATGAGAAGTGAAGCCTTCGCACAGGAGGCACAAGAAAAGCATGTGCAGAATCCTCGGTGTCCTCAAGTCAACTATCACTCCCATGCGTCCTGACGTAACGGAGACTTTAGCTTTAGCTGGGAATTTCATTCCGTGTTGCAAAAAATTCCTAAAAATAATATCTCAAGTATCTAAGCAGTGCTTGAAGGCTGTCAGCCTGTTTGCCTTCTCCAGGCACTGAGCCCCAAGTCTTTATCGACAGCAGAAGCAATGTCAGCGTCAGACTCTCTATTCAATACTCACGGACATCAGTGCCAGGTAGGAGTAACCAGCTATAAGAGCAGGAACCATTGTGTCCAAAGGATCTTGGGTCTTTCTACTGAAACTCCTAACAGGCCTGGCAATTAATGCCATTCCCAGGAGAAAAAATTAGGGACTGACTTCAGAGCAGCAAGTCATTTCATCTGAGGCATGGGGGAGCCATTGGATAGCAGAGTCGTTTTGTCAGGGACATCCTTGAAACCACTGCTGAGAAAAATACAAAGTTCGACAATAGAATATCCATCCTTTGAGGCCTCCTTTTTCCTTAGTTTTAGTTAACAGCGATTAACTGCATCGGTAACGGTGTGATACGAGTGGCCTTCAATTTCCCACTAAAAGGACGCAAGATCTTGCTAAATCTTTCAACCTGTAAAGCCTTGTCACATGAGATCAACTTTGAGGACAATTTCTGAAATTTCAGGTTTTCAGTAAACTGTTCTAGCTGTGTTTGTCAATGATCAAACACAGACTTTGCAAGTTATTTTACCGAAGCCTCTTAACACAGATACCTGCTATCCATTAAAAGATACCACCATAAATTCAAGAGCAATTTATATTTCTAAATGCCTAGAAACACGTTCTGCTTCTACTGAAGTTTAAATACAGCCAAATTTACATAAGAATTACTAATTGGTTGTAAAGGTCGTGCCTTTTGAATATATGCATATTGGAGGTGTGAAACCTATTAGGCTGTGGTATTATGCTTAGGCTCAGTGCTGAATTTGGATTAAATAGTGTTACATTGATTTGATGAGCTGCTCAGATATGCTGAAGCTTTAATTGAATGCATTAGAAGATGTTAATTCTAACAGATACATCCTTAAAAGTAGTAGCTTAGTGATTTGAAACTGGTTTCTAGTACTTTGCCAGTTTTCAAGAAGGGGAAAGAGGTATTTTGGAGTCCTTAATCTGCAACTGTATGTTAATAAATATCTAAGAGGTGCTTTCTTTTCCTTTCCAATATGAATGAATGCCCTCTGAAAGCCAAAAGGGAACTGATGTAATCTATCGATTGCCACTTAAATGCCTTTATAAGCTAATTAGTGCAAAATGTAAAATGTTTCTGAGCAGAAACAAGCAGCGACCATGAAAATACAGGAAGGCTCACTTGGTTCTTAGATATACCGGGGGGACAAATGTCCTGACGCAGAGAGTCACCAACAAGTGAGGAGCGTGGATAGTGCCTGCTGTGAAACTGTTACAAAAGATAATCTCTTGTTGTAACTGAGAGAGCAATGTCATGCCGGCAGCAACGTCATGATGACAGCAGTCATCGTGCGCGCTTGAACCAGCAATGGTGCATCTAGCTTTAATCGACATAGCCGGGATGGCGTCTATCTGGGAGAAATTGGGATGTTTAGGGAAACAGGCGACACTATGAAATAGGTCACTGGCTGGAGCCTGCCCAGGTCTGAAGTGGCTGAAAGTCATTACCATCTGTTCCTCTGAAATGAGGGGCTGGTATCCATCCAGTTCCTAGCAGACAGGTATCCCTGTAAAAGAAACCTTCAAAAGTGATCCTAGTTGGAAATGGGGTTGGCAGGAAGGAGCTGTGGACTGAAGGCTCTCCAGGAGCTCCTTCTAGCACGTGCAGGTGGATGGTGGGTATCTGAAGCTCATTTATGTGCAGTCCCTCTATGATGCAGTAGGAAGCAATTTCTCCTTGCTGTTGTCAATCTGGCACCTTTCACTGACCAAACAGCAGCCATTATGATCAATGTCTGACTAATATCTTTGTTTGAGGAACATTTTAGCTTTACAGCTCTAGGAAGAGATATACCTACACAAGCTTCTTTATGGGATCTTGGAGAGACTCTGTCCTGCACCTCCTGTGCGGAGTCACGGCCCAGCTATAAAGCCAAGCGACTGCTCTTGGTGCCTCTGCACGTGGTCTGACCTCCTCCTCTTAGCCAGGTAACTTCTCCCATCTCTCGGGAAGATGTAGCTACCTCTCACATGCCACAGCCAGAGCGCGCGTCCATATGTATCGGCAATCAGTGTAAGCAAGGATTGCCTTCACCTCCTCACCTAGCCATGCCCTCAGTTAGAAGCTTCCCTTCTCACTGGGTGACGGGCCTGACCCCCTCAGCCAACTGTTGCTTGAACTGGTTAAATGCTGGTGGGGAATGGGCGGCGGAGGACATTCCCCTCGCAGAGGGAATAAGCATCGCACTGTACCCAGGAGAACTCACAGCTTTTTCTGCCTCAGAGCACTATCACTCCCACCGATGCTCTAGCAGTAGTGAGAAAACAGCTTACAGGGAGAAAAGTATCCCAAACCACGGAGCAGGCGTAGTCTGTGCAGCAGGCGCTCAGAAACCAAGTGTCCTCTAAGAGTCCATCTTATTAAGTAGCTAATAAAGACCGTACAACAAAGTATTTATGTGAACATATGAATTTAATCTAAGGCAAAGCTTTTGCCCTTCTCTAATCAACTGAAGACGACTCCAATGACAAGTTTCATGGCCGCACCGCTCTATTCAAATTAATTACTCTGCAAAAGTTAACACAACTGAAATTATGTTGTGTGCCTTGAGAACGCCAAGGAGAGAGAAGTACCACTTAGGGCCCATTCTCCTTCCCGCTTGGCCCATGTGGATCAGCCAGAGCAGACGCCATGTCCCGCTCCACCGCTCCCGGGGCTCTGCTCTGCTCCTTCCCTGCCCGACGGAGCTGGCAGCTCCCGACAGATCCTCCTCATTTACAGCCACGCTCTCTCCAGCACCAGGAGAGAGTCACAGCTCATCTCAAGACTATTATTAACGGCATAACAAAGTATTCATACATTTACTCGGCTTTGTACCCTTTCACACGCAACACTCATTCCTTTGATCTCCCCGTGAGAAGGGATTTCCTTGTTATGTCAAACTATTAAGGAAATGAAGAAACACCCCCATACAATCCCTCTCTCTGTATTAATGGCAACAAGACACTCAGAAGATTTTTCTCCCCCTGAGAACTGTACAGTGACTGTAAACAGCACCAATATTTCTAATCAAGTTGTGCTACCTCTTCTGACAGGTCCACTCAACTCGTTTTTGCTGTGCAGATAATACTGCCTCAGGCTGATAATTAAACCGAATACAAATTTTTACACACTCGCGTCACCCTTACAAGGTCAGTGTTTCTCTCACAGGATTTTAATACAAACAGAACCCTTTATAACGTACCAGCCACCACAGTTAATTAAGAACTACCGAGCATCTATTTTTATATAAAGACAATACATATAAGGAAGGCAGAGCACAAAAGCTTCATAAAAATACCTTTGCATTCAATTCTAGCTTTACATCAGATTTATACATACACGTATGTGTGTGTGGGGCCGTGTATTGAAATTTTAAGCAAATCCAAGGAGCCATCAGTATTTATTCAAGGAGCCCTCAGTATTTAATTAGCCTACAGCAGCAAGGGTTTTTTTTTTTTTGGTCTCCCTCCTCCCTCCCACTTGCACCTGGCCAGCATGTGTGACAGGCAATAATTAGTCCTGCAGCACTGACCACTTTTCTATACAAAAAAATGCTGGTTTGAATGGCATCTGATTGGCACTGCTGAGAGAGAACCAAGAGCTCCCTGAAAGGGCTGAGCGTTTCTGTTTTCCCCTGGAAAGGCCAGAAATAAGAGCTTTTCAGGTCGCAACGTATTTAGATACATAAAAGCGGTCTGAGGCCGTATTTCGGGTTTTTAATGACCCTCACCAAATTCTCTGCAGTTTAGCTTGTGGCTTGGCAAGTGGAGAAAGAAAGGATGATCTTAAATAAAAGCATATACTCCCCCCTACCCCCAAATATTGCAAACCCAGCATTTCCCTAACCAAGGTCACTACACACCGGTGTTCTGGGGTACAGAAGCTTCACCCCTGAACTGCTTGATACAGCCACAGCCAGACGCTGGCGAGCGGTGAAGACACCGCAACAACAATTGCAGCAATCAATGCACCATATAGAAAGGCACGGCAACACACGGCTCCCATCCCCCTTCTCATTCTGGCAAGTGAACACGGATGTCGGATGGCATTAACTGCTGCCAGCTGGGCAAACAGAGCAAGTAGGTCAAGAGCATCACTCCTCCAAGAGTTTTCTTTGCTAAATATTGTGCTAACGACTGCGTTATTGCTCATCAGACTGAGGTTCTGAAACTGGGGTTAAAAAACCCTTTCCCATGACAGCAGAGGTCAGGTTTTCCATCTTGAGATATTTCAGGTTGAGCAAAACCACCCATCTTTGATAAAATGCCTTTTGATATTAAAATCTGCACTCAGGCCTGTCCTGATTGCAGAAAGCAGCTTTCACCAGAACAGCTATTACAGTTGCGTAAAAACAAACGACTGAAAACCATGTATTAGGCACTTACGGTTTAGAAAAGTTCTAATGGAGATCGAGCAGACTTACTCTAAAGAATTCTTTGGTTGAGCCTGAATCCAAAGTGCCATAGGCTATTTCGGTTTGTTTAGCCAGGTCCTCTGCGCTCTCTATGGGAGAAACCATCCTTTCCACCGTAAGGAAGGCAGCAAGATTAGCAGTGTAGGAAGAGATAATGATGAGAGTGAAGAACCACCAGACTCCTCCGACAATTCGCCCTGAGAGAGATCTATGGAAAAACACACATCATCAAATTGCTTTGAAGACATTCCTTAATATTTTTTTTTCCTTATTGAAGAGAAATTCACATGCACAACAACTCTTTGGTCCAGATCCTCCAGGTATCTGTGAACAGGCGGACTGTGAGCCAGCTCCCGACAGCCCTCCTCAGGAGAGCAAACTCGGCATGCTCCTGGGCTCACCTAGTTCAACTCTCTCTCCAGTGTTTCAGTTGAAAACAAGGACAGTCCATTAAGAAATAATTCATCTGAACCAACCCTATGGGAGGCTCAGAGAGGAACAAGCTCTCCTGACTTCCACAGACCCTTTGCTGGAGAAGTCTTTTGCCAGAAGACTCGTCTTCTCTTCTCGCCCAGCCTTTCCCCGAGGCTGGATTTGCCTGCTGTTATCTCAGCATCGTGTCTCTGTGGGGGCTGCCCAGCTTGGAGGACACGAATGTGCCTTCTACTGCATCGACTCTCAAAATCTAAGATGTAGTAAACTGTAAAAAGGAATCTGAGTAAACGTGCAAAGGAATAACCCAAAAACGATCCAGTGTCCTTCTCTCATCACAACCTAGCAAGAATTACAGACTGAATCTGCATATTGAAGTGAGGAGAGAGGCTGGGTTTTTTATGGTTTACGTTAATTAAAATGTGCATGTTGCACTGTACCAACTGAAGTGTACTCCTGCTTTATAACCACCAGAGCAACAGAGAAGGAAGCAGAAAAAAAAACCAGTGCTCTGTTTTTGTTGTGGTTTTTGGTTTTTAAAAGGATACCATAAGGACTAAAAAAAAGCCGATTTGTAAACATGTAATTACAAAATGCCTAGTGGTCAGGTCTGCATCCTGTCAGTAAGAGGTCTTGATGCTTTAAAGCGATTGAACATCAGGCTCGAAATATTTGTTTGGGGCTGAAGGATGCCAGCGCCACGCTGCTCAGCTGGGTGGGGAATTTCATGGCCACGTACAGTGCTCATTCTTCACACACAGCGCGTTGGCCACGAACCACCTCAGGAGCTGACGCAAAGTTATTCCGTATGTTTTCCCTTAACTCTACTGATACCAGCGGAGAGAATCAATCCCAGACACATTAAATCCGTGGAACCTGGGTGCTGCAGTCCTCAGCTTGTGTGAAGGGAAGAAACAGAAAGCAAGAAAACTCTTACCTGTTTATTTGTTTCCTTCAAGCCCCTCAGTGCCATCCCCAGACAGTGGGTACAAGTTGTCCTACCAACAGATGGAAGAGACAGGAAAAAAGCGAAAGTCCCGTGATGTGCCCCCACCCTCCCAGACTGGGGGGGTTAGCTGGTAAACTGCCTATCTTGGCCAGAGCCCGAGATTGCCTGAGCCGTTTAAAAAATCCCATTAAATTATTACAAAAAAAAAAAAGAAGGAAAAAAAAATATCCATCCAACATTAAAGAACACACTAAAGAAAAAAAAAAATCACCAACATAATAAAACCAGAGCGAGCAATCTGGAATTGGTTAGAGGAACGTGGAGAAACAAACTGGGAGGTGAAGCACTGCTGTTCTCCGCTCTCCCCTGCCCAAGAAACCGCAGCAGCAGCTCCCACCGAGCGGGCAGACGCCGGCTGGTTTCCACAGATCACAGCACGCACCGCTTGCCAGCGCAGTCAGCACCCCAGGGACTGCTGCATCAAGCCCGTACCAACGTGCAAGGCGGTTCCGGTGCTCCCAAAGCTTAGGGAAGCTTGAGGAGTGAAGCATCACCTCTTTGTCCATCGGGAAGCAATGACTGTCGAGGTGTGAACCTCTGAGAGACATCGCCATCGCTCTGGGCTGCGTGCGCTTCCGCAGGGCAGGCACACATCCGCTGGATCACCGACAAGCGGAGGCGGCTTCCCTACCTTTCTTGAGGGCCTCCCAAGAGGATAAAAGGCTTCCAAGTCTGGACCTGGGCTCTGCCGCAGCTGCGCTCACTAGCAGAAGGCTACTGAGTAGCTGCAAAGCTCAGCTGCAGAAATAGCAATCCAGAGTAATGTAGTAAGTCAAGGAATCTCTCTACCTCACTCGTCATTCTTTGTAGGTACCAAGTGAGTATCTTCGGATTTTACAGATGGCAAAAGTCCTTTCTGGCCAGCTCCCTCACCGGTTAGGGTCTTGGCTTTAGCTACTTTGTAAAACTTGATACCCTACACACCGAATCGGCCTCTGACATGGGCTGACGTAATTTTAGCTAACTACAAAGCAGTGCCGGCTGAACTCGTCGCGTTAAGGCTCCCTTTGGAGCCAGCAGAGAAAAGGAGAGGAGACAGACACCCTCAGAAAGAGGTTTATCTCACTTGCCGTAGCGTGGGGTAAGTCTGGAGGTGCCCATCTTGCCTCATGACTTTGGAGGGCACAGAGATGCCTAACTAAAGCACAGCCCATTGCTTTTCGATGGCTACGTCAGGTGAAATTCATCTCCCTTTTGTTCATTCCTTCACTGCATACTTTCCATCTTCAGAGAAGACCTGGAGTTGAATTCCTCCTCCCTGCAGTGAGGTGGATAGGTTCAGAGCCAGACTGAGCAGGGGTCTGGTCAGCAGGTACAGCAGATGAAACATCCACGTGCGCACAGCAAGACCAGCTTTATCCGGGGTTTCCAGGTTCCCGTGGCCCTCTTGCTTTACAGTAGGTCTTGAAACAGGAAGATGAAAAAAAAAGACTTCCCGGGGCGTTTAGATAAATTCAATAGAACTACTGGGAACAAAATAGTATGTGTTCATTCTCCCTATAGTTTCCCACAGGAAATGTCCTTCTTGCACTGGTAGCTGCCCCTTCTGTTAGCAGGACAGGTGGGTGCCTGGGATGAAGATGTGCAGAAGACAAGCATTTTCCAAACCAGTGAAACCTCAAGCTCACACTGCTGTGACAACAAAAGCCTGTGTCAAGCTGCACGCTCACACAGCGTATTACACACAGAGAAAGGTAAAAATATCTTGCCCCAGAGATCTCGCAACCTGCGTGAACTAAGTCAGACAGATACAGGACAAAAAAAAATGGAGAAGAGCTGAGAGGCATGGGAAGGTGGGCATGGCTGGATCCCTTGACGAAGAAGACACTTCCCCGAGGGTCCTACACGCAAGAGAGGGGGCTTAGCTGAGGACCAGAGCTGTTCTCAGAAGAGTTGAGGTCACTTGAAAGAAAACGGGATGTCACTACAGAGTTGTTTCTCCCAGAGTCTTCCAACGAGCACGAAAAGGGAGATTGAACAGCTGCTACTACGAAGCGGTCTGTGCTGACATAGCTGTAACTGGTGGTAGCGCAGGATGGGGCAAAAGAAAAACCAAAACACAAAGCTGACACTGAAGGAAAGACAGACAGACAGACAGAGTCAAAGAAAAGAAGATGGAGGAGCATGGCCTGGCAGCCTCCTTGTCCAAAGGACCCCAGTTCCCCCCAGTCCATCTGCTGATACGAAGACTCCTTATACCCACTGCGGGGGCTGGTGTAGAGGTACGCGGGAGGAAAAGGGTTAGTACAGAAACACTGGGCTGGTAACAAGAGAGTACTTGTACGGTTTGTACTGTGAACCACAGAAATGTTTGTCCACTACTCAGATAATAACTATAGAAAAATCAATCACAGCTTCTAATACCAGCACCACTTTTTCGGAGGAAGACGTACCTGTGCATATTGTAATTTAAAAACACACAACTAATGCTTTATGCCAACATGTCGTTTTCCAAATTACCTCAATAAATAGACACTTTGCATGACATTACTTTAAAGTGAATTAGGGTGTTAACAAATGAGAGGAATAACAAAGATCTGGAATAATGGAATTATAACTCAATTATCAAAACAAGGTCAGACAGTGTTTTCAAAAGCGAGTAAACAGGAAGAGTGCATACCTTGAGAGGAAATTTAAAAGGAAGCATGGAGTCAAATGAGAGCAAATTAGTAACAAGAGAAAAACCAAACAAATATTCAAATTCACATTCAGTTTCCAGGAGAATAATGCATTCAAACAAAACCTTATTTACGTATCAAAATAGCTTGAATTTTGTTTCTACTCATGGCCATAAACCATCTACGATTTCCTATAGCGCACAGAAATAATAAACTTCTCGCACTACTCCATTTTTAATTGGGCTCTTCCCATCGACACAAGACGGCTGTTACATTGACAAAGAACCCTGAACAACCTTGGGACCTGGCCCCCCGCTAAGCTGCGAGCTCAGAGCCTTGCTCGGGCGCCCGGCCAGCCCTCTACCTCTCCTCACGCAGCCAGTCGGCCCTCGCCTCCGCTACCGGGACAGAACACAATAAATACCAGCATCTGACTTGAGATGCTTCCATCATAGGAACTGGCAGTGGGAGTTTCAGAAATTCCTAGTTTACCCAGCTCTCTTCGCTGTTTGAAAGTCCCACAAAGTCATTCCCATGGTCTTTAATAGGAGTCTCTGGAGTCTTCTGCTGTGAAAACAGGGAGCTAGAAATACATCCTCTTAAATGACCAACCTCATGAGATAATTTTTAATGAAACCCCTGTCTTTTTCCATCAGCAATTAACTAATCTAGCCTCTTTGTTCCACATGAATAAAGAGCAAAATGAAAATACATGCTCTCATAGAGATTTCAAAGATACTTTCACTCAGAACAGTGTTACCAATTTGACTGTGTTTTCTCCTGATTCCATTTGCTGTACATATCTTACATTAAAGCAAGTTTAATAATCTACTTTTGATCCATCAAAAGTGAATTTTCAATGCTTGAGCTCACTATGCCAAAAACACAGCAGCCTTTGATAGCAGAACAAAACTGCTGGAACAAATGTTGATTCCATCGAGGGATGCACTAACCCCCATCCTTTGGCTGCTATTTGATTCCGTTTAGACGACTCCTATTAAATACAGAGAGGAGAGTATAGGGATATATCCTCTGGAATATCCACACAGCATACTCACCGAGGATAGATCTAACTAGTCATTAGAGGTCACAGCTGTTCCACACAAAGGCAGCTGAAAGAGCCTTTATCAGCAAGTACAAAAGTGATCTCTCCAGACTGCTTGTCGGCATCTCTCTACAAGTGCTGTACGCTCTCATATAAGAAATTTATTCAGACAAAACTCACAATGGAAGAATGAAGCCCCTTTTAATGGCAATAAAATAGTATGAAACATTCATATAGTCAACGCACTGTGAATGGCGGAACCTTACAAAGATACGGATTAAGAATGGGATACTTGGGAACATTCCCTTCTACGGAAAAGAAATTTGACATTTAATCAACTTAAATCAACATATCGGTCAAAGAAACACTGTTTCTGGAATTTAAACCAAGGTATTAAATTTCTCTTTTTTTCAGTAACAATGCACGTAACTGCTTGGAATCTGTTCCCCTGAAAGATAACTGGATGATGTCTTCAAATGAGGGCCATGTATTAATACTGAGCTAAGAGCTGCTGCTGGACAGATAAAATAAATAGGTTTACTGCTGTCTCTTTTTTTTTTTTTTTTTTTTTGGTAGGTATATCCAAGGCACTTATCATGGTAATATTGAAAAAAAAAAAATAGAGTACGTTCCACTCATTATATAAGGTAAATGGCTGGACATGTCAAAGAGTCACATGAGAGCTTAACAAAAATCCTATGCACGTCTATTTAACTGTCAATAAACAGACCTAGCGGAAACAGTGCAATGCCTGCAGCTTTCCATGTGATGTCCCAGTGCTTATTTCCCGGTCCTTTATATTGGGCACACACATGGTCAACAGCAATTTAAACGTTATCACTACTCATCACCTTTAAGAGCAAGCAGAGAGGCAAAGTTTCGATAGAGAGTTCAGGCACAAAGCAGAAACAGAGTGTACGAACAGGAGGAGAAGGCTAACAGCTCAACTACAGTCAGGCAGCACACCCCAACACTGGTAACTGCAAAAACCAACGCAGGGTCGTGTCCAGGCAAAAACGTGTGCGTGTTTTACGTAGGCTATATATGCATCTGTCGATAAGGATGAAATCTAATTGCTGCTTTTAAGACTTTTAAAACATATGCATGACTTGCATCAAATACGAACAGGCATATGGCAGTATCTGTGGACGTCCTGAATGTCGCTGCGGTCATTAGGAGATTTAAATGTGCGATGACTGTGAACTTCAAGGATCATTATTACATTATAACTGGTAAAATCCTCACCCTTTCTGTGAAACTTCATAGAAGTTTCGTCACTTGCTTCAGTGAGGCTACTCAAGATCCCTACCGCTATACGGACCAGGAAATCCTGGTAACTTTTCAATGATCCAGCTATTGCAAAAGGCACATAAACATGGAGATCGACAAGGTGTATTTCAAATCTAAGTGCTTAGTTAGAAAAGATCTGTCTCTCTCGCTTGGCAACCTTGGGAAAGGAAAAAACTGCATCCTGTTTGTACTAAGCAGGTATTTTTAATAATTAAAATAGTTGTAAACTGGTTATTAAAATGTCGTCATGCAAAATATAGCTAGTCCTCCATCACTAAGAAACTAGATAATTTTACTGCTTATCACAGGCATATCACCAAAGTATTTTACCAGTGTAAATGTAGAAACATTATATATATTATATATATACCATTTGTGGTATGCATTGTTCAGTTTGAGAGAACTTCACTATTCTCAGGTAGTTTTCAAAATGCTTCTTTAAAAAAAGGAATATCAGTCTACAATAGTTAATACCAGTGCTCTCTGTTAAATCGGAACTAATATCAAATATGTTTTACTGCAGCCTTATTCAGAAAGGCTGTCTTCGTGAAAAAGCTTTATGGAAACTGGCAATGCTTATTAGACCGTACTGACTAGGAACACAGGGACAACAGATTAGACTGGATTGAAATAACGATACACGTATAGGGTGGTACGCAGTCACTGTTAGGGGAGCACATAGGGAGACCTGAACAGATGAAAGACGGAGGTAAGCAAATCAGTCATAGATGAAAGGATGGTTCAAGAAGAACAAAACTAGCGAAATTAGGCACAAAAGAAAGTAAAAAGACTAGCAGAAGTCATGACGGGAGTGGAGGTGTTTTAAAGTGCTGTTGCATGTGACTTTTTAAAAGAAACAATTCTTATTTTGCAAAGCAGAATACGTTATATGCAACAAGGAGATGACCGTAAAATGAGATATGCAGCAAAAACACGGTAGCCCTCCAAGCATTGCTGAAAACAGAAAACCCTATGCATTTTACAGCCTCAACATGGTGTATATAAGTTTGGCAGAAATGCATAAATGGCATTAAAAGGCAATGCCGCTCACTCTGGAGGTGAATGTTAGCAAGCATGGTGGCTTGATGATGATGCTTAGCATTGAATGGAATGTCAAAATAAAAAATCTGGAATTAAAAAGAAATTTGAAAAGTAACATATATGCACCATGGCATCAGAAAATGACCATAAAATGCAAAAAGGTGATGGAGTGACATGGAACAAACCTTGGAGAAATATCGCATCCTTGCTGCATAAAGGCACCCAGGGAAAACCAAAGGCTGTTAAATATTCCAAACTCATTTGGAGGGTCAGGAGGATTCTGAGGGTCACGTGGTTCTTCACTGCTGTCTTCCAAGTGCCATTCGTAAGGGCTGAATCTGCTGACTAGGAAAAGAACTACGCTGACGCCAATGTAAGCAAAGACTATACACATCCAAATCTCATAAGCCAAAGGATCCAGGAAAGAGAATACGCCCGGTTTAGATTTCTGAGGCTTCTTGATCATGATGGAGATGCCCAGGCTCATAAAGGGTTTGGAAAAGTCTATGACTTCTTCTCGCACCAGTGTTATGGTGAGGGGGGCAACAGCTATATCTGCTCTCTGAAAAGGGAAAAACAAACCCAAGTTAGTTACAAAACAGTTGCAACATAATCACAATCTAGAGTCTCAGGCTAACGAATCAGATGATAAATTACAAGAGTGAGTAGGAAACATTTTCTTTGAGCCTATTTTGCAGTCACTGAAGTTAAGGACTACACGATATTGATAGAAAACTATTAACAAGAAAAATTACCATCAGATCTATGCAAGGACCTCATGACAGAGGCAGATCTGTACCAACATGTATTTATGTTTCTATTAAGTTAAAATGGAGTAATAAACACTATGCCACCTGGACAGTAAGATGTCAACTGAAACTATGTCATTTTCTAGTAATGGTCTGTATCCATCCATCTTGAAGACTTTGGGCAAATTATGTGTTTCTTATATTTTAATTTTCTCTTTTCCGTTCTTTCAGCAAGTTCTCTTGCCTTACTGATTAGTCCAGGCTCTTTACAAGGAACCTAAGAGAAGCAATCAGACACTGAATTTCGGCTACGTTTGGGCACAACCACTCATCTACCCCTTTGAAACCCCTCTGCAATAAGGGGATAGAAGATGGTAAAACAGTGGGGTGACAGGAACCAGCCAGCCAACCCTTTCAGTACAGATTCGTGAGTCCCTGAGAAGTAAATAGCCTGGGTTATCTGAGAAGAATGCAAAGTAGTCTTTTTCAGTATAACGTATGCTGTCCTATTTTACAGAACTTAGCTCTACAGACCTGTAACATAGACCGCACTCTGGGGCTGTGTCATCTGGAAGCACAATCTCATCCTAGCGTGTTGGTATACCCTGAACCAATACCCTGCCCTTCAATCAATGCATCTTTGCTGGATTCCATAGGAGGGTAAGAGTGTAAAGTAAAAAAACCTACTTAGTTACCTGATCAAAAATAACATTCCAGAATAATATGTTTGCAACATATTTAATTGTATCTGTATTTCTATGCCAGAAAGATTCACGTCGCACTGTTTAGATAACCTAGCCTTGATTCAACCAAGTACTCAAACAGGTGTCAGCATTTGCAACAGAGGTGACTAGAATGTTAAAAAAAAGCCCTTTTCATTTAAAAATTGTTGTTATGAGAGTCTACATACACTTTTTTGTAATCTATTTTAAACACTCTAACTATTCGTGTTATTGATACTTTTAAAGATGGCCTTTCGTTGGTAATTAAGAATTTCAGAAAGAAAAAAAAGATTCTTAGGGCAAGTTTAACTTACAGTGCCTAAACCACTGTGCACCTTTTAAATCAGATTCTTGTTCCCTACTAGTAAGTATGCACCTCCTTCTGGTGGAAAAATAAAACCTGATTAAGTAGAAGTTTGAATAAAAGTTAATAGGAAATGTTAATAAGAAGTTATTAAAATCTGTGCCATAAAATAATTGAATATGCCTTTACGTTAATCTGATGGCGATGTGCGTGACTTTCATTAGTATCTGACTTGTCCTTCCTCCTAGATAGCTGGTTTGGGTTTGTTTGGTTTTTTTTTAAAGTTTAATAAGCAGAAATGGCAAAGGCTTCTCCTAAAGTTAATCTCAGTATCAGATGCTCTGTGCCAGCTGGTGCCTCAGCAGCACTGTGCAGCCATGCTCGAGGTAATTTCTCAGTGTTTTTAAGTCCGAGGCTAACGGCAGACTTGTCGGACAGAGGACTGGTCCTCTACAGCCCTTCCTGCAGCCAGTCTCCTCCCCGAAGTACCCATCTGCACACACCACCTCTGGATTTGCTCCAGGAGATCTGCTCAGGATTCTCTCTCAACAGTTTGTACTGGCATGTGCAACTGCAAGGTACGTGTACAAGTTCTCTGCTTGGAATAATCAGATAAACCATGCCTGTGCGCGTAAGGAGGCCATTCGGAAGTCATGGCCCTTGGTGCACCCTCAGCCCCTCCAGACATTCATCACCTCTCCCCTTGAGTGAGAGCTTCCCTCGAGGAGAAAACCCTCACCTGATTTGTGGTCACTTACTGCAAAAAGTCTAGTTTAACGTGGCTTGAATATAAAAACTGAAAACGCCGTCTGCCTTTGCGCGCTTGGGTGTTCACTGGCTTTGCAGATGAATGTGCTAATCACCTAAATAATAGACACGAGTGGAGTGCGGTAAAGGGACCGGCTGATGTCCTTGCTCACTGATGAATTCCCCCCAAACATCTATTTGTCTGGTAGCTGCTGCTTGTTGAGCTACCGTTAAACATCAGATGTCTGCAGTCAGTTGAGACGCACACAGAATATCAGCTTTAAACTTAGTCAGAGTCCACGGCTGGCTGCAAGACTAAGCACTTTGACCAAGGCTACTGTATTTCATGTTGAACTAATGATGTACTTACAAATTAATCCTTATTAGAGCAAGCTTAATGGATCAGGACCCCTGCAGAGACTCAGCAACGATTCCACGTGAAGTGAAGCTTAGGTGGGAGGCAGGTGCCTTACTGCCCGGCACGTCCTTCCACACACGGACAGCCAGCCTTGAACAGCTCGTCAAGGTAGGAAAAGGCTGGTTCAGCTATAAGAACATTTAGTTTCTGTAGCGTTTTCCTGGACTTGAAGAAATTTAATTCTCCCAAAGTAATATTTTAATTGCCAAAGCAGACACGGTGGAGCTCTTCCTAAGTGCTGATGCAGCGTGCAATAAAGTCTGTATCTCCTTCACGAGCGGCTGAGTTCATGCAGGATGTTCCTGTGGGGTCTTTGGGGGATGAAGCTGATGCTGTGCTGAAGCACAGACAAATCAGTTTTTAAAGGCCTGATTCTTACCATGTCCTCATTCACATCAGACAGTATGGTTTTCTTTGTCAATGATTTAAAATTGCATTTTAATATTACAAGGGATATGTATATTTATTTTTCTGATACTTTTCTGTCTTCCTGCTTTTCTACCATTTTTTATAGGCATCCAATATATTGGAAACACCAACGAACACACTCATGCCCTAAATGAACATGGCAGCAATTGTTTTCTGCAGAAGGAACAAGCACGGGTTCAGGCACAGGGTCTCAGGAAACCATCAACCAGGGCACTGAGAGGGACCGACTACAATCCAGCACACGAGCCTGGTTCCTCACTGCTTCCCTGAATATTAGTTGCACTAGAGAGGTTAAAAACCAGACTGCTCTTTGCTTATTTATTTAGAGATATAGTATTTGAAATGGAGAGCTTATGGAGAGCTCTAAGCACCCTAAAGTATCATTAATAATTGCAGCACAGTTGTGAATTTCCCTCCCTGTTATGGCTGCAGATAAGCAGAACCCATAAAAATTGAGCTCGATCAAAAAGAACACAACCACAACCATGCCCTTCCCCGTGCAGAACTGGAGGGGGGTTTAAGAACCTCAACAACTAAGCTCTGCTAATCACTCATGACTAATGGCGTTTCAAACATCATCTTCACTGCATTTGATCCGGGCAAGAAATGTCATGGATTCCTCTGAGGCTTGTTCTGTCGTTGCCTACTAGCGTGGGAGGGACGGATTTAGAGAGGACATGCAGCACAGAGGCGCTACCCACTCTGTTCAAAGCTGACCCCAGGGGGCTGCAAACCTCAAGACTCTTACGAAGAGAAAGAAAAAATAGCGAATGGAAATATCCCTCTACATGGAGAAAGAAAAACGATAAGATGTTCCACCTCTGTAATCCAAAAGGAGGGATCAAATTCTTCTGCTTACAGACCTAAAGATGAGTCTTCCTAACTTCAAAGCTATGCACTAGAGAGAGCAAGAGATACCGGCTCTGCTCCTGCCTCTACGTGCTTCTGCTCATTCCTGCTTGCAGAACCGAACAAATTCTTCACTATGTGTCGCTTTTCAAGAAGTGGGTCTGGGCTACAGCCGCTTTGCAAGACCGTTGTGTGCCAGGAAGCCAGCCAGCACTCGGACTATGTGCAGGCCGAAGCAGAAGGACACTGCCCGATTGCCATCAGGAGCCAAACCTCCAGGCACCCCAGAAGTGCTGAATGCAGGTTCACAGCGGCGTCGGAAGAGACTGCGCTGGAATAACGACTGACTCAGAGCACATGTTAGGACTGCTCAGTGCAGTCTGAGGTTTCCAGGTATCTGAAAAGGATGTCAGACAGAGCAACACATCATCTGCGGTATCTGCTGGTAAAAGCTACCTTGTAAAGAGAGTCCAGTACACCCCAGGTATCAGGGCGTGTTGAGAGGGCAGGTCACGGGGTAATGTGTTTTTAACACATTAGATCACACTTATTTAAAAACAACAGCCGATACCTGACTAGCAACATGCTGCATTGAAGTCTTAATGTGTATTAGCTGAGCAGTGCAAAAAGGTATGAAGGTGTCAAAACTGCAGTTGGCCTTGTCTGCCATAGTTTGTCAATGTTAACTCCACACGTGCTTTATGAGGATGCCCACGATGCCTTCTGAGACACTGCTGTTGTATGCAGATGGAGAAATTAAGGGTCTATCTGGTTTAGGAGCTGAAGACATATGTGTGCTTCCTCTGTCCCTGCTTGGACGCAGGTCAGCCCAAGTCTGGGACCACATCGGCGTGACTCCGTGCTGGGACTGCGGTCCTGTCCCCCTGCGCGGCACGGTGGCACCACGGCTCAGAGGCTGCCTGGGCAGGGACCCCGCCTCTGCCCCTGCGGGGGGAGGACCAAGGGCAGCCTGCGGGGACAGGACAAGGGTCTGTCTGAGCCGCAGGGCAGCGGCATCGCATGGCAGTACCGTCACACGGCAGTACCGGCACACGGCAGTACCGTAGCACGGCTGCCCTTGGGCACTTGTACCTGGGCTTCCCTCCTGCAGAAACCAGGGGTGAGGGGCGAAGGGCGAGCTTCTCCCGCCCATGGCACAGTCAGGCTCTGCCACAGACTAAGAGCACAGGGGACGTTTTGAGGAGAATTAGGAATCGAATTAGTCTTCCTCTCCGCTACGATCCGAAGGCTGTCTATGCCATCCGCGTCCTTCTGCTGCTGCTGGGAGAGCCAGGGAGGCCAGCGCCACGCGAGGCTGGTTCCTCTGTGAAAGGCAGGGAGATGTGGAGGTGGTCCCACTCCGACAGACCGCAGAGGCTGCCTGCGTTGGGGGACTGGCTGTCCTTTACATCCCTGCTTCGTTCCTTTACGCTATTTTACATATTGAAAGGTTTTTATACAGATCTTTTTTAACCTGTGGAGAGTTTTAAAGGCTGTAAGGTCTGGCTGCTCTTTCCACTCCCAAAGCATTTGTAGTTACAATTAAGATCTGTGTTAAACCTACTGTCAATTAGCCTCAGCGATGTGAAAAGCATCAGGCCCAGGGAGGGAAGGCTTTCCCTGGCTGAACAGTGAAGGAAGAACAGCAGCCTGCTTTAAAAGGGAAAGAAATAAAAGCCTACAGAAAGAGGCTTACCCTAAGGAAGAGAAAAGACAACTGTCTAGTGCTCGGCGGCGGGGTGCGCACCGTGGGAGGTGGTGCTGCTCAACAGCCCGAGCGGATGGCATGTCCTCAGCGGGCGGATCGCTGGAGGACAGCACTTGTCTTGCTGGTTTGCTTTGCTGGTTAGATTTAGTGATTCGGTCTCTCAGACTGAGAATGATTGAGCTACTGCCCTCTTCTAAAACGTCCAGGAAAAAAGCTTTACCTATTTGCTATTTTTATTCTGACAAAAGTTTCCACTATGTTTTAGAAATTTGTCTTAGTTTAAAAAATAATAGGGCTTGAATTGGTAGGGGTTTTATGGTAGGAAGAAGAGTCTTATTTTGACACTATCGGAGTGAAAGAGCAAAATGGAGGTTTTCTTCAACCTGAACTGATGGGTTTTCATTTATGAAAAATCAAATAAATTTCATTTTTCTATCAAATTATATATCATTATTAATTATTATTACTATTATTACTACCACTACCACCACCACCATTTGAAAATTGCTAACAAGCCACCAGGATGCCATTAGCTCCTCTCTAACAATACTTCTGGGTTCTCCTGTCTGAAGCAAAGGAGTTTGGGACTATCGGAGTTTGGGACTATCCGCTCGGCCAGAACTCCCTGCCGCCATCCCTACGCTGCCAGAGAGCGAGCCCCTCTCCGTAGCCAGGTTCATTTGTACAGCCCGTCACCAAGCCACGAGGAAAGGCCCAAGAGGCCACCTGAGATCGCCCCTGACTTTGGGGGGGGGGCCTACGGCACAGCGGACTTTTACGCCCTCCGACCAGTCCTGATATGATATGA